TGGATGTCTTGAATGAGAATTGAACCCAGGTACTTGTGCGCTGTGTGGGTGTATGAAGTTCAAAAAATGGTGGATTGCAGGCAAAGGTGAGATAGCTTAATGGTTATGAAAAAAAGCAATTTTGTTATTTCTACACTACAGTAATGATTGTAAAACCTCAATACTAGGTAGCTAATAATATTGAAGAGTGACCAGTGATGTAGTGTTATGGGGGGGACTGACTACAGAGCATCTGATCAGGAGGGAATACAACTAAGATATTGTTGCTGATGGTCAAGAGTTCTGCAATTCGATTTGTGGTTGGGTTAGCTGGGGTTTGTTTTGTTGCTGAGTCTGGTGGTTGTGCTTGCCAGCTTGGAGAGTTCAGTTGTGGCTGATGAGTGTAACCAAGCCCCATGCCCCCCGGATACCCCTCCCCCAAAGGCCGAGGTGGCAACCCCAAGACCCGCTTTTTGACGTGATTGTTCAGTCCAGATGCCATATTCCACAAGGACACTCCTCCAGAGGATTCCAGAGGATTGACATTTGCACACCTGCCAGGTTATGGAAACTGATAGGTCAAGTCTTCCTTTTGTGGGGCCTGCCACATCAAATCGACGGGTTTTTTTCCCAAATCAAGTCTTGATGGTGTGGCCAATTCAAATAGTCAAAATTCTAAGCTTTATTTGGATCGTTATTATCAGGACATGGCCATGAACACCATACCGGATGTTCAGGGAGAAGAAGAAACCTGCTAAATCATTATGCTGGACCAAGCCTGCCTCCTTATATAGACAAATGAGGGAATTCAGCTCCAGGGTACATGCTTCTGAGGTATTTTAGCTGGCCTGAAGATCCAATGAGGTAATTTAGCTAGTGTAGTACATGCAGGTGAGGGATATTAGCTAGTGAGAGCACAGCCTTGGGGGATTTTGGCTAGCCTACAAAGGAATGCATGTTAGCCTTAAAAGGAATTCAATATGTAATATGAGCTAGTAAAGGAATTCAATATGAAAAAAGGAACTCAATATCAAATATGCATCCAGTATTCAAAAAGAGCTATAGTCAGAGTAAAGAATACAAGAGATATCCTGTGATAGGTTGAAATCTGTGTTACTTCTAAACTACAGGTTGAGTTAGAGCATGCTTGTGCCAACCCAATGAGTGATCCCACTATCAATGAGGGCTCTGAGCTCTCCATTGGGTCAATGACACAGGTTTACTTGTACAGAATGCTGCTGAGGTCCAGCCTGAACTGGTTTAAAACTGCTGAAAAATCAGAAACAGAGCTTGGAGGGGAAATAGACAACTACACTATGAATAATGTAAGTTGAGGCTATGGGTGCTGTTGAGGCTGCCCTCCTTGACAATGGTGGAGTTGGGAATATTTACATTAAGAAAAAAAGAAATAAAGGTGTGGTGTGGATTCTAGTAAATCTTAGCGAGGTCTAGGACAGAGAGTTTTATTTTGTGAAGGTGTAATCCCTGTAGAAGGGAACATGGCCAATGTGGCCACAATCAATAATTCACAGGCTGAGCTGGATGCTGATATGGCTGCTGAGCCATCCGCTGAGCACAGGAAGTGTGCTACACACAAGAATAAGAATGCCCCAGAGGATTGGGGCATTTCCTTTAAAAAGAAAAAGTAATTCTTTACTTTCATCCTTTGAAAGCAAAAGAGATTACATTCCCCAGAAGAAAGTACACCAGTACTTTTCTCCTGGATGAAATGTCTCATGGAGCTTTCTCCACAAGAAAGCAGGCTGCTTAGACCAATGTCTTAGCAGCAATAATCTTGTATAAATACCTTTCCTTTTTCTCCCACTTGTATCTCATTCATTCACTTTATTATCTCATCTTATCTACTCACCTAAACTCACACATACACACACATACTCACACATATCCCCACCATCACCTTGCAACAACTACCACCAACACCATTTTCCCCTTTCCACTTTATTATATTAGAAACTCATCAAAAATAACTAAACCACACCTAAATCTATACCCCAACGACAACATTACTATCAAGGTCTAGTGATAATATCACAGAGTGAATGAGGAGTGATGAGGAAGGAGGATTGTGGAGTGATATTAAGGTTCAAAGGGTATGAGCAAAATATGCAGAGGTGGTCAAAGGATAATGTGCAAAATATGCAAGGTTTCTGAGGAATGAGTGCAACATATGCAAGAAGTCACTGAGGGGCAAAATATACAAAGAGGGGGAAAGAAAATATGACTAAATCATGTCTGACAAAGTATGCATTGATTGTTGTATGTTGTTGTATGTCTGTTGTCTATATTTTCTATGTATATGTATATGTCTATGTCTATGTATGGGGGGGGTACAAGTGTAAGAAGGACTATTTATATACCCTAAGATACAAATGAGCACAGACTGCGGCAATTCTGGTCATGAGAAATAAAGGTACATATGTATAAATAAGAGATGAGAAATGTAAACAGAAAACAAGGATGAGTAAAGGGGAACAGACCCAAAGAGGAGAAGGGCTGTGAAAGAGTGTACTACTGTTATCCTGAAGGGTACAGTAATGAGTGTAAAGAAATTATCTGAGAAAATATCTGATATATGTAATGAGAAACAACTACTGTAAAGAATGTGAATGATGCAATGAGAACAAATAATTGTAAATGAGAGTACTTGAGAAAAATATTATGTATGAATCAATCTGTAAATATGTACTATATGTAGCTACGTTGTAATGTCAATGTAAAGAAAAACATCTGTAAAACTAAGAATGAAAATAAATATTGATCCAGTAAGAAATGAAATATGGCTTGAGTGAGTGACTATATGTAAATGAGGTGTAGAATCTGAATATTTCATAATCATGAAGGAAAAACAAGTGGATATACAGTGAAATAATAGGGGCTATGGAAAGGTATGGGTTACCACACTGGGTGGCACACTTGCTTGGTGAGATGGTGGTGAGGTCAATTTTGGTGCAGTGGCACACTCGCTTGGGCTCGGCCAAGTGTGGCTTGGGCCTGACCCCCTCCCACTTTGGGAGGTGCCAAGCAAGGGTTGGGTTTAGAGGGTGCCACACGGGGTTTGGGATTGGCCTCTTTTTTGCCCAACTTGGGCCTATGCCCAGACTGGCTTGCAAGACCATATATAATTGGTTGACATCAACCCAGTTTAAACATTCCCAGTTTGACTGGGATACTCTCAACCTAGCCAATTATGCGGGCAGTGTTGTGGGCAGGAAGGGTAGTGTGAAGTATCACAGAAATGGGCTGTGAAATGCACATGGAGAGGACCTATTGGAGGAGTCTACAATCTTGAGTCTAGGAATTGTGTAGGTCCCGGGAGGGATTTTCTCAGTTTAGGTTGCCCTTTGGGACCTGCGGTGGCGGGGCTAAATCCAGTCCGGGGGCCTAAATTTGGTCCCTGGTATGACGGCAGGGGCCGCGGTGGAGTTGCTCTCACCGCGCCGCGCTGTCAAACGGAACCCCCGCGGTGCGAGCTGCGCAACCAACCTCCTTGGGTCTGTCCATCTCCCTCCACCTGGCTTCCAACCAACCCCCCGGGCGAGCCGATCAGCCAGAAAGACACCTTCGAGCAGAACACACTTTTCTTGGAAGCAGCCCACATCCCCAGAAATGTCCCATCATCAGACACCCGCCGCCTTGGAACGTCAGTACTATTCTGATGAAGAAGATGACTTTTACGAGCAAGGAGTTGAGTACCACCTTCCTCTAATCCAAGCACCGGGAGGTCGATGATCGATTAAAAACTTGTACATACGTTTCTCAACCGATCGGCCCTCCGTTTTTTAGGTCACCGATGCACAAATCCCTCTTGGAATGAGGCAAGAGGGTTATGGTGAGGGTAACTTCAATGGTATGTCGTGCTGCTACTATCATACATTTTGACCTTTTTTTCGATCGTTAACCTTTACCTTTGTATGTAGACCAGTATCTCCAGCAACAGCAATTCCTGCTCGCTCAAGCTGCAGTGGCTCAACAACAAGCACAAGAAGCTGCTGTGGCTCTAGCCGCCGTTCCTGAACCCGTCCGGAAGGTCAGTAGTAGTAGTGATTTTTAAGAGTCTTATCTCGATTGGTCGATTAATTGATCGGTTGATGTTTCGATACACACTCTAAATAACCAATCAGTACATCATCTATCTGCACACGACCTTGCTCTCTGCGAACCCTCAAGAAATCTTCGCAGCTTATGAGGGAGGTTGGAACCGATTGACAGACAAATTTTACCAAAAGACCGAGTGGCCCGAAGCCGATATCATCGCTCCCTTGGTGAACAACGGTTAATAAAATTCACATTCCTACTTTTCTTCCATTTATTTGCAACATATTGACCTCGATCAGTCTGCTTTTGCCTTCAGACGAAGTGTTCTTGTTGTTTTACAGGGAGTTATACTACCGACATGTCTACTCTCGTTTACAGCCAGACATCGATGATAGGTTCCATTCATACGAGAACTACTGCTCGATATTCAACTACATCCTTAACTCCGAAGGACCTGTCCCATTAGATTTACCCGTCCAATGGCTATGGGATATCATCGATGAATTCATCTATCAGTTTGCCTCCTTCACCACTTGGAAAGGTAGGATGGGGCGCAAAACTCCGGAGGAAATTCAACTCATTGCCGAGAACCCACAAGTAGGCCAACGAGCTCGTCTCTATTCCTTTTTCCATACTAATAGTGAGATCTTGTTTGTCTTTACAGGTTTGGTCCTGTTACAGTGTTTTGAATGTTCTTTATTCGCTCATCACCAAATCGAAGATTCAAGAGCAATTAGCTGCTACACGAAAGGGCGAAGATCCCGAGTGAGTCAATTCCTCAGATTATTGCCTCTTGACTTGACTAACAAATAGTACATTATTTTTCTTTGTGCTAACTAAGCGAGGTTGGTGGCGAATGGGGCGCTCGACCTCTATACCGCATGCTCGGTTACTTCTCGATCATCGGCCTACTACGAGTTCACGTTCTCCTCGGAGATTACACTCTAGCCCTTCAGATGATGAATGATGTCGAATTGACCAAGAAGGCTTTGTTCACCCGTGTCAACGCTGCCCATGTGACGGTTCATTACTACGTCGCTTTTAGCTATATCATGCTTCGCCGATATCCCGATGCGACACGATCCCTCACTCACATTCTGTACTTCCTTCAACGCCTGAAAGGTTACCACACCCGAGGCTATCAGTACGATGCCGTCAGTTCTTGATACATTCACCTTACTGACCGACGCTCTACTAACCATTTGTTTTCCCGCAAGCCCAGATCAACAAGCAAGGTGATCGAATGTATGCGCTCCTGGCCATCTGCCAGGCTCTTTCGCCTAGCAAGATTGACGAGAGTATATCGAGCACAATGAAGGAGAAGTACGGCGAGCAGTTTAGCAAAATGCTCTCTGGCGGTGAAGCTTCACTTGCTAGCTTCCAAGAGCTCTTCACCTTTGCCTCTCCTAAATTCTTGTCGTTATCTTCTCCACCATACGACCGACCCGAGCTGTTACCTCAATATGTTGCCAGCAGTAGTCCCAGTGAAAACCCTAGTGCTCATCATCTGAAGCTTTTCCTCTCGGACATCCAAACTCAGCTCCCGACTCCTAGCCTCCGCAGTTTCTTGAAGCTCTACACAACCCTCAGTATCAACAAACTAGCAGGGTTCTTGGGCGTAGACGAAGAAGAAGTGCTTGAGAGTTTGATGGTCTTGAAAGCCTCAATGCGTAGTGTCAGACGCTCCGATGGTGATTATGGGTTGATCGAAGGTAAAGAAGTTGCGCTTGGAGACATGGACTTCGCGATCGATGGAGTAAGCACTCTTTGTGGCACTTAATTCATATATCCACCAGGACTAATCTCCTATGTTCTCTAAATTAGGATATCGTCAAGGTGACTGAAACCAAACCTGGAAGACGCTTTAACGAGTACTTCATCAGGCACACTGATAAGGCCCGAACAATGTACGACCAATTGATGGCCCAACCCCTCCCGATCCCACCCAAACCTGCTTCTGCTCAACCAGCTACTGCTGCCACTGAAACCGGAACTCAAGACAAGCCCCCTGTCTGGGTTCCTAACATCAAGGCCGCTGGCACAAAAGCTTAAAAGAATGGTCGCCATTCCATATATGCTTGTTCCTCTTCTTACTATGCTTCACTTTTCTTTAGAAATTTAAACCCTTATTAACCTTTCTATATTTAGAAATCAACAAACTTGAATCCTATCCTCCCGGTCTTGACAGCAAGGCTTGGCCCATCACATCCAAGCTCACCCCCGAGTATTACCCGTTTTCTATCTATCTTCCAATGTCACTCCTTTTCAAACTACAGGTGTTTTATCCTGGTCCATCCTCATCCTCTTGTTCTTTTGTGACTTATTTCTTGGTCGTTGGAATATTGATCCGTAAGGTTTGACTGTCAGATAGAGCTCTTTGATTTGATTTGATGATTGATTCAGATGCCACAAAAAAGCATTTTGCAAAACTAGAGTCTTGGGAATGACATGATAGGCAATGGAGGTTCTAAAACAGTAATTGCTTGGAAATCTTATGGGCTGCTACATATACAAGCTTTGATTGTCCTTAAACACAGGTGGATTAAATTTACAGGCTCAAAGCCACACCTGGATAGAGCTTTGTAATCTTAAGAATCTAAGGATTATACCATGATGAAGGTCTGATTTTTGGCCAAATATGGCAAGTGTGGACATCTGTGTCACACTGAGAGCAAGCTGACCTGCAAGGAAGACTGGTTAGTGGGTATGATAAACTGTTGAGCTTTGTCCTCATTGACTGGTCATCATGACAAGCAAACCTGTATATAACTTAGCAGCTGAATTAGCAGGGGCTCCTCTGACTTGACCATTACATTTACAGCAAGTCAACTTTTTGCTTTTGCCTTCCTATCTTAGTGAGAATGTTCAGAGAAAACAGGAGACTTGGCCCAGAGAGAAAGGCCAGCTCTTCATCATGACCATTTGGAAAACAATTTTTTTTTTTCACACTCCACTAAACATTTTTAAAGTCCAACTGAATAATTTGCTTCCTGATAAATCTACATCTTGGTGCAGTGGTAGTTGATGCTCTTGCTTTTTTCCCATGGCATCAAAAAATGAAGATTTATATGTTTAGATTCATTTTCTTTATCATAGTGAAATTTGGTGAAAAGAAAAAAAGAAAACATTAAAATAGAATAGCAAAAGAAAATAATAGTGCAGTACAAAAACAAAGACAAAAGAATAGAAAGGGGAGTATAATATAAAGGATACAAACAACAATCAACTGATACCAGTATATCTAGATTTACCAGACATTGGTTTACGTAGCAACATGATAGCCATAACACTAGTGATAGCAGATAAGCCATACCTACAACAACAACAGATCCAAATCGATTGATCAAAAAGAAAACAAAAAGAGATCAATAAACTAAAGTTGCATCTGAGATGGATCCAAAAGATTTATGCAGACTGACCAAGTTGCAATGTAAGTGGCATGCATGTTACGTAGTGAGATTTGAGGAGATCTTCCGATTGGCAGACCATTAGAAACCATTTCATTTAGTTTTCCACTGTTAGCATCTTTGTTCATTTGTTGTCCAAAAATCCCCCCAAAACAAGCAAAAACGTTTAGCTTTTTAGAAAAAGTTTTGTGGAAAGACAGAGAGAAGAAGAAGAGAACGTGGAAGACGTACAAGTGATGGCATCAACAAGGATCGGCGCAGTCTCCAAATGCTCAGCAATTTCTTGGATATCAACAAAGTACCATTGGTTTGAATCCTTCGAATTATTAGGTTGAAAGAACGATTTGCTCTCTTGTTTACGTAGCATACCTATCACCTCAACAACATCTTTAGACTCCTAGGTAGAAAATTTTCCACAAACACCATCAAAACAAAAACAAAAAAAAGTAAGACAGAGATTTCGCGATGTTTTTTTTTTTTTTGCGGGTGAAAAGACCAATAGCTATGAAAATAAAACTAATGTAGAGAAAAGGAGGAAAAGCTGACATGACTGAGAGGTCTAGATCGAGGGTCCTTGAGCTGGCGTTTGATGAATCCGCGATTGACGAGGATGGGTTGGCCGCCGTTATGAGGATGGAAAGGGGTGATAAGATGATAGCCTAGTTCGCCTTCACGAGTTCGAGACTCGATGAAGATCTCCTTAGAGTGATCGAATCTGCCGGTAAGCTTGACCTTGCGATACTCGAATTCAGGAATCACTTTCGGACTACAGACAGAAGAATAAAGAGAAGGGTAGGGATGAGTACAAACAAGTCTAAAAGGTGGTGATATATAGAGAGTTGTACTGAACTTGATGTGTTTGGGCAAGCTGATCGGTTCGAGGGCCATCTTATTCTCCAAGTCCTTGATCAACTCCTTCTTCCAACCGAGTCGCTGGACCTGCCAAGTACCCAAGGCGAAGGTGAGGATGGGGACGGAGACGAGGACGATGGTCATGGGAGTCCATCGCCGATTGACGCGTGGCTTCCAGTTGGATGTGTCCAGCGGCTCCCTGAATCCGCTGCTCGACCCCTGGCTCCCGTCGGCCGCCGCCCGGCTGGTCCGGCTGGGTGAGCATGAGAACCGGCTGAATCTGATGATCAGGGTGTTGTTGTTGTTGTTGGTCGGTTGGATTATCGGCTTGTGAAGGAGTGAGCCCGTCAGGAATGGCCTGGAATGGTGCAGCCTCATCTCTCGGTGTGACTTTGATGGTTCTTCGCTGATCCGGGCCCTTGCACTCCACCCACCCTTCCCCTCGAACCACCTCAAATCAAAAATGGCTTCAGTCAAAGTAAGCAACTCAACCTCCCCCCCCCACGAAGATATCCAGGTTGTTGACTGATCAACCAAAGCCCCACACAGGTCGTCTCCTTGTTGATCAAGACCTTGAGCAAACCGATTGCCAATCGACTAAAGATCAGTGCTCAAGTTCAGTCTCTCTCTCTCTCTCTCTTACTGCTTATAACACTCCTTGGAAATCCCAATCAAATCTCCGAAAGAAAGAACCTCAACTGATGCAAGCTTCTCAATATTGTTACTCTGTTGGTCAATAGGAACACCCCAAGTTCAGTACTCACACGACTCCTTCAAATACTACCGCCGAATTCCATCTATAGGAACTGATAATCCCCTCACCATCAAAAAAAACAAAACAGATTTCGTACTGTGTGTGTCGGCCTTGCGCAATCTCTTCATCGCTACGAAACTCGTCTGGCTTCGGGAATTTTCGCAAAGGCGCAACCTGTCATTCGACCACTCAGGTTCATCCTTCTTGTCTTATTGACCTTCCTTCGTCTATCAATATGTTCCACTTTTTTCTTTGTCTATGTGTGAGGTATATGATATTGACTTTTTTTCCTTTCATTCTTTTGGAAAAAAAAAATAGTGATACGAAGGCTATTCAAAATGGGGCCAATTTCTTATCAGAAGCTTTCTTATTCTCGGTAGCAGTAGCCCTAAGTAAGTGAATCTCAGAGAAACGAAAGATCACGATCGATTCTTTTTTCTTTCCTTAATAATTTATGCAGTGAGTGTAGTATGGATACAACATTAACGACCATCGGAACCGATGATCTCCTATATACCTTACCTAAAATATACGTGTACCCTCAGTTGTTGCCGAGAACTTACGGGGAAGGATGCAGACGGCCCATCGACGAGATGTGGTCAACGAACGACTCACCGAGCTCGAAAGTTTATGTGCCGATATCCGGTCAGTCCCGCGCTTCCCTCTTTAATGCACCCAAAAAAAGGAGGACCGCTTCCTTCATATCTTCGACCTCTTGCAGAGAAGTAAATATGACTGATAATGATTGTGGGGGAAAAAATCAACATAGAGCCGAGCAAGAAACACTAGAACAGAAGATCCAACCCCTTTTCCGTCTATGCCATCAAGACTCTTTGCTCACCGATCACAGTCGGCCGTCAATTTCCGAGTCTTCTCACCCGCACTCAACAGCCCTCGATCGGCCACACTCTTCTCAACCCAGTAATGATGATAATGATGATGAAAGAGTAGAAGAGCTTGACCGGTCTCTTGCTAATGACCACACCGTCCGTAGAGCCGAAATCGCACTCGGATATCGGAAAAATTGAGATAATTAGCAGCGCGGCGTTCCGTCCCTGTAAGACCCTCCTCGTGTTCATCAGCTCCCTCCATAACTAGCCTCTCTACTAACCCACACAAGCATCTTCCCTTTACTCCTGCCTTACCATTTCTCAATCCATTCTACTCTTACCAAATAATCTCGCAATCTCTTGATAAATATCAATCGATTTTTTTCATAATTACATATCAACTGTCCTCCAGAAAAAACCCATTCCTTATCCACATCCTTGTTCTTCTTCTTTCGATCGTTCATCTCATCTTCTTTAGCTTTAGTGTACACGACCTCATGACATACCGACTTGCATCATCAAGCTTTCAACCTCAAAAAAAAAAGGATCATAGAATCTCGTCCACCACCACCACCGTCTCTTCCTCCTTTGTCTACATTCCTTCTTTGCTTCCTTCCTTGTCGTTTCTTGTAGTAACAAGTATTTTTCTTCTTCTAATCAGATAACCCTTTGTCTAGGAAGGATTTGCCTTTTTTTTTCGCAATGTTCTTTTGTTCTTTCTTTCGACTACAACATAAACATGTACAAGATCCATAGAAATCAAAACAGATCATGTGGAAGATGAGGTGCATTATCCACACTTATGTCTAGAACGGATGGCTGAAACCGCAGTCCCGACTTCCAATAGAGGGACTGGGTGCTCTCTAACGCTGACGATGAAATAACCAACCGATGACAATAATCAATTGCGTCAAAATATAAGCACATAGACACATAGGTGGATGTGGGAAAACAATGGGCCGGCCGGCCAAAAGACAAAATGGATCGACACGCACGCCTAGCTTAACACTTGGGTTAAGCTAGCATGCACGCAGGCTTTGCATCATCAAGGAGTCGAAGAAGAAAAGGTGCGTCATAGCAGATCTTGTCACAGGGGCGCTGAAAATTGTACCGGCTACATGGCACATACCAGCTCTCGTCGTAAAGCCGGTCTGAGTCGATACATAGGCGTTAAGATATCCTCGCCGTCTTAACTATTGCAGGAGGGGAGCCACCCAAGTGACTAAGCTGTTCGCCTGAAGACCCCACCTTGTTAAATGGCAGTACCCTCCGCTCCGGAGAGGCCGAGATACATAGATTTCAGATGAGTCCGTTTCAACTTCTTTCGTTGTCATCCGGCATGACTCTCATAGTTTAGCAGAAGTTTCACACAACCAATTTTATGTGATGTGGGTGGCTTCCGGTGGCGATGTTGAGACCGGACCCTCATCTGGCCTGATGATTCCTATTGTCATTCATTCATATGCCTCCTTCCTGGCGTTGTCTCCGAGGTGCTTGCTCGTTGCGAGCATTCTTTCTCCTCCATGGTGTCTTGCCGTGCATTATTTATAGGTGTCTCTGGACCAGTGAGAGATTGATCTCTTTTTCTTTCATCCATCTCATCACACAGAAGCGCCATACCAGTTGCAGCGTTTGCTCACACTTAGCCCTATCTCTGCATCCTATCTTCAAGCCCCGTCACACCTCGCTACAAGACCATCTTGAATAAAAAAAATAATCAGACGCGCAAAACCTCTCCCAACTAGTCAGGTAGATGATTGATTGTGTTTTTTTTGTTGAGCTGAGAATGACTAGCAGAAAACAACTTATAATGGTGACTGAACTTCAATTGCAGGCGTCAAAATGACTTGCAGTCCCCAGCACCTCCTTGCGCTTGTACTTTTGCTGGTTAG